TGTGTGTGTGCGTGCCCAAGATCCCAAGAGGAGAATGGAGGAGAAGGGATTGCGGTGTGACCATCCCCCCTGGGGGGTGATTTCTCACTTTCTGTCTCTATGTCTCTCTCTGTCTGTCTGGCGAGCGCACGCGCCCTATAGCAAAAATCTCTCCAAAAAAAAAGAAATCACCCCTCTCAGAGGTGGTCACGCCACAATCCCTTCTCCATTCTCCTCTCAGGATTTTGAGCATTCATGCACACATGCCCAGCATGAGTTTTTAAGCCACCGGGTCCATGGCTCAAACCGCAGTCGACTACGTGGGAGTCCAGCGACGTAGCCATTATGCCATCTGCTGGTCCCAATAATTTTTTGGGGGGGGTGGGGGGGGAGGTTTTTGCTATAGGGCACACGTGCTCACCAGAAAGTGAGAAATCACTCCCAAGGGAGATGGCCACACCTCAATCCCTTCTCCATTCTCCTCTTGGGATCTTGGGCACACACACACACGCACCCGGTGTGAATTTAAGCCACCAGGTCCAGGACTCAAACCATGATCAACGACATGGGAGTCCAGCAACATAACCATTACTCCAACTGCTGGTCCCCCCAATAATTATTTTATTTAACTTTATTTATCATTATTACTTTTAATATTTCCAGAAAGAGGGGGAGAGAGGGAAAGTGAGAAATCAAGTCTCCAGGTCTGGGACTCGAACCGTGGTCAGCCATGGGGAGTCACCTCCCAGCCCCCGGTGGTTTTCAAGCCACTGGGTCTAGTTCTCGAACTGCAACCAACCGCGTGGTAGTCTAGCCACGTAACCACTCTGCCACCTGCTAGCCCCGACTGTGACTATTTTTTGGTTCGCTATCGGGCACACGCACCCACGAGAGGGAGAGGGCTGTGAGGGGAAAGTGAGAAAGCAAGCCACCAGGTCCAGGGGTTGATCCATAGTCAGCCCTGTGGGAGTCCAGCACTCTAACCACGACACCACCTGCTGGCCCAGAGAAACAAGATCGTTATGCAAAGGGCGTTACAGCACCTGTCTTGCACGGGAGATGTTTAAGGCAGGGTCTAGACAGCCGCCTTTCCTTTCCTTTTGTTTTTGGAGAGGTTTTTGTTATAGGGCACGTGCGCTCGCCAGACAGACAGAGAGAGACAGAGAGAAAGCGAGAAATCACCCCCCCCCGGGGGAATGGCCGCGCTGCGTCCCTTCTCTATTCTCTCGGGATCTTGGGCACGCACGCACATGCGCCTGGCGTGAGTTTAAGCCGCCGGGCTCGGGACTCGAACCATAGTCGACTACATGGGAGTCCAGCGATGTACCCATTACACTAACTGCTGGTCCTTGACAGCCTTCTTTCTGATTGATGGTGTAGTACAGGACCTCTTGTATGTGTGAAGAGTGACCTGAGGGGAGAACATAGCTGGTCCCCCAGGCCGCGGGAGGGTGGCCCCAGACTCGAGGCGTGGCCCGCGTTCCCCGTTGGAGGGCTGATTCTGTGTACAGCTCCTGCCCTTTGCCGTCTGCACAGAATCAGCTCAGGATGGCCCGGTTCACAATTGTGGACGGCAAGACGGGGAAAGGGGTGAGCTTCAAGGACGTGGCGGGGATGCACGAGGCCAAGCTGGAGGTGCGCGAGTTTGTGGATTACCTGAAGGTGAGAGCATGTGCTGCACCACAGGGGGGCCCGGGAGTGGGCTCAGGGCCAGGCCGCTGGTCACAGGCTATGCCCGATGGGGACCTCCCTCCGTGGGACACCACAGCGGCGACCCGCGCCTGCTGGGCCGCGACACGTCACGGTAGGCTCTCGGGGGCTGGCACAGAGTCCCATCAGCTGCCGGTCCCTGACGCCGACAGAGCTCTGTGCGACCGCGTGTGGCTGCCGACTGAGACGGCAAGTCTTCCCGACCGCGGTCTCTGAGGCCGTGTGTGCTGTCTGCTGCCGTCTAGAGCCCGGAGCGCTTCCTGCAGCTCGGAGCCAAGGTCCCAAAGGGTGCGCTGCTGCTCGGCCCGCCTGGCTGTGGGAAGACACTGCTGGCCAAGGCAGTGGCCACAGAGGCCCAGGTGCCCTTCCTGGCCATGGCCGGCCCCGAGTTTGTGGAGGTCATTGGAGGTGAGTGTGGGTCAGGACGTTGAGGGCGGGCTTCCCGCGGACGTAGCAGGAGGTGCTGAGATGCCGCCCTGGCTTGGCCGGTGGCTCGAGAGGGCGCCCCAGGAGGTGCTCCGCTGGCGTCTGCGGGGAGAGGCCTGGGCCTGCGGAGGGTCTGCCCTCTGCGATGCCACCTGCTTACCTCCTGCTGGTCTCCGTGTCCCTGCAGGCCTCGGCGCTGCCCGCGTGCGGAGCCTGTTCAAGGAAGCCCGCGCCCGGGCCCCCTGCATCGTGTACATCGACGAGATCGACGCTGTAGGCAAGAAGCGCTCCGCCACCACGTCCGGCTTCTCCAACACGGAGGAGGAGCAGACCCTCAACCAGCTGCTGGTCGAGATGGACGGTCAGTGCCTGTCGCCCTCCGTTTAGGTGCTCGTGCATCCAACGCGCTCCCTTCCGCCTACGCAGCCCCCCCCCCCGGGGGAGGGCGACGCTAACACCCAGGGGCCTGATACCTGGCAACCAGCAGTTAGAAACCGGCTGAGCTCCAGAGGCGTGGCTTGTAAGTTAGAGTCAAGGCTGGGGGCCAGCATGTGGTGTGGTGGTTAGGGCGCTGGACTCCCACATGGTCAACCACAGTTCGAGTCTCGGACCTGGGGCTTACTTTCTTACTTTCCTTCTTTCTCTAATCAAATTTGATAATAAAATAAATAAAATTCAAAAATTCTTCAAAAGAAAAAGACAGTCTTTAGATAAGAAAGTCAAGGCTAGAAGAAGACAGTCTTTAGACAAGAAAGTCAAGGCTGTAGTGAAAAGAAGGAAACCCTGAACATTACTGGCCAGATGGTGCTGGGCCGCCTCCTTCCTCCATCAGCCCACTCGCTTGTGCCGCGCGTCTCAGTGGGGGTCACGCGGGGCGTACCAGGCGCCGAGGCGCTGTCTGGAGCAGCTTTGGTGCCTCATTCTCTTTGGTGACGATGACCCAGTAGTGGGCCGTCTTGTGGATGTAGACGTAGACCCTCTTGTCTTCTTGGCGGGCACCATCATAGAAAGTGATGCACACGCCAACACGGACTTTACCATTTAAAGAAGATGCACTGTGGGGCACGTGCATGCCCTAGTGGGGGGGAGCACCCCGGGCCCGGGCCCTCCAGATGTGGGCGCACGGGTTCTCACCTGTTGTTTTCAAGGCGCTCGACCCAGAGCTGGAGCCACACAGTCAGCCACGTGTCGCCACCTCAGCTCTAGACCTGGCCTCTGTGGGGCCCCAAATCTGCCGTCCCCAGGTGTGTGGTGGGTGGCACCAGGTGCACCCATACCACTCTGTAGCCATCTCTGCCATCCAGAACCAGAACTTTCTCGGCAACATGGACAGAAATTCCGCCCCCAAGCCTCCCCATTCTTCCTTCCTCAGCTCCTTGTAACCTCTATTTTACTTTTGAAGAATTGTTTGTTTATTCATTTATTTTTATTTGACCGCATAGGGACGGGGGTGGGGGGGAAGAAAGCAAGCCGCCAGGTCCAGGACTCGAACCACGGTTGGCTATGTGCGAGTCCAGCGACCACGCCACCTGCCGGCCCTTATTTCACTTTTTTTTAAAAATTATTTTATTTATCATTATTACTTTTTTATTTTACCAGACAGGGACAGAGAGAGAGAGAAAGTGAGAAAGCAAGGCACCAGGTCCAGGACCTAAACTGTGATGAGCCATGTGGAAGTGTCCAGAACCCTAACCCTAACCCTCTGCAAGGCCCTGCTCCTATATTTTTCTTAAGCCTCCAGGTCTGGGATTTTTTTTTTTTTCAAGATTTATTTCTTTATTACTTTTTTTTTTTAAGAGGTTTTTGCTATAGGGCACATGCACTCACCAGAAAGACAGAGACAGAGAGACAGAAAGTGAGAAATCACCCCCCAGGGGGGATGGTCACGCCGCAATCCCTTCTCCTCCATTCTCCTCTCGGGATCTTGGGCACGCATGCACACGCGCCCGGTGTGAGTTTAAGCCACCGGGTCCGGGACTCGAACCACAGTCGACTACATGGGAGTCCAGCGACATAGCCATCACGCCAACTGCTGGTCCCTTATTTCTTTATTACTTTTATCTTTCAATTTTGACCGGAGAGAGAACACACGCCACCAGGTCTAGGACTGGAAATGTGGCTGGCCATGTCAGAGTGCAGTGCCCTTGGCCACTCCTCCACCTGCAGCTTGGGGATTTGACCCACACGGCTGGCTCTGGGCATCCAGCTCCCTTAACCATGACTCCATGGAGCTGACTTGAAGCTCTCTCTTTAAAGTAACTTTGGACTTAAAAAGCACTGCAGGCCAGAGGGTAGCATGTTGTTTAAGGCAGCTGGATCCCACGTGGCTGGCTGAGTGGTGAAAGTCGTGGACCCCGCAGCTTGAGAAACACACTGGGCCCATGTGCATGTGTGCCCAAATCTAAGAGGAGGAGGGGACTGCGGCATGGCCATCCCCCGGGGATGCTTCCTCACGTTCTCTCTCTCCAGTGAGTGGACGTGCACCAGAGCAAAACCTTTCCTTGCAATTTTATTTATTATTATTATTTCTTAATTTGCTATAGGGCATATGTGCTCACCAGAGAGAGAGAGAGAGAAAGAAAGTGAGCTTCCAGGTCCAGGCCTCACCGAGGCCAGTCATGTAGGAGTCTAGTGCTTTGACAACCATGCCTCCTGCTGGCCTTGAGCAAAGACTTTTTAAAGGCATTGCGTAAGCAGTCTGCGTGTTCCCGAGTTCCTGGCGGCCATGGCGGCCTGAGTGTGGTGTGCTGGTCCAGACCGGCACACGGTACCCATTACTGCTGTCTGACCTTGTCCACGGTCCCTGACTTGGTGTGCTTTTCTGGTTCGGGGCCCAGTGCTGCCTCGCCTGCTGCGCGGAGCCACCAGTCTCCCTGGCCTCCAGTCCTACGCCGTCGCTTACCACCAGGGCATTTCCAGGCCAGTTCCACCGCGACGAGCTCTGAGCCTTGGGGTGGCGTGGCTGACTAAGGAGCAGCACAGCTGCTGTGATGCCCCTGTGCACGCAGCACCGACACCCTCACCCCTGCGGCCCTCCCACTGACCTGAGTCTGCCTCGAGCTCCCGTGGGCTCAGATGGCAGGTGCACCGGGGTGCTTGATAAGCCAGGAAGCTCTGCAGGTCTGAGGCCAGGGAGGTGAGCAGTGGTTGTGTAGATCCGGGGTCGCGAGGACAGTGGGGTCTGGAGCTGCGCCGCACCCCTGCTGCTTCCTGGCTATTTGTCACCCACTTGTCCATCAGCACCTGGTGGCTTAAAACTCACACCAGGTGCATGTGTGTGCGTGCCCACAATCCCGAGAGAAGAATGGAGAAGGGACGGGAACCAGCAGTTAGCGTAATGGCTATGTCGCTGGACTCCCACATAGTCGACCGCGGTTCGCGTCCCGGACCCGGTGGCTTAAAACTCACGCCGGGTGCGTGTGCGTGCGTGCCCAAGATCCCGAGAGGAGAATGGAGGAGAAGGGATTGCGGCGTGACCATCCCCCCTGGGGGGTGATTTCTCGCTTTCTGTCTCTATGTCTCTCTCTCTGTCTGTCTGGCGAGCGCACGCGCCCTACAGTGAAAATCTCTCCCCCCCCCAAAAAAAAAAAAAAAAAAAGAATGGGGAAGGGATTGTGATGTGGCCGTCCCCCCGGAAGGTGATTTCTTGTTTTCTGTGTCTTTGTTTCTCTCTGTCTCTCCAGCAAGCACATGCACCCTATAGCAAAAATCTCTCAAAAAATATATGCATGCATAAATGCACTGTGCACGTCCCACTCAGAGGGACGCTTCTGTGGCATGCTCGCACCAGGGCGCAGTCTCTGGGAAGGCACCAGGTGACTAGCCGGCCTCCTTGATGAAGGTCGAGTGGTTTTAGTGTCTGTCGAGTGAGGGGACCAGTGTCGTCGACTTGCATGAGGGTGCTGTGTGGCCACGTGCCAGGCCCCCCTTGTCTAAATCTCTCTGACTCAGAGGAGTCGGACCACGTAACTTCCTGCTGCGATTGTGTGGCCTTCTGTGGTGGCCAGCCATCCTCTCAGGTGGTCACGAAAAAGTCAGTGCAGAGACCTCTATGTGGCCTCTCTCTGCCTGGATGTGAAGTAGCCCCAGGAGTCAGGGTCATGCTCTGCTGTGGCCTCTCTCTCCCTGGATGTGAAGTGGCCCCAGGAGTTAGGGTCATGCTCTCTGTCCGCGTCTCTTTGAAGATGGATCTTTCGGGCGGACTCGAGCCTACTGGGAAGCACGTGCCGGCCGACCTGCTGCTCCGAGCCACACCTCTGCACTGCCGTCAGATGAGCTGCTCCCTCCCCGGGGGCTGCTCCGTCCTGGGGACCCGCTTTCTGGAACCACAGTGGAGTCAGGCCAGCCCCAGACCAGTGCCCTGTGTGGGACAGTTGTGCTCTCAGCCGTCCACCCTGTCCGAGGCCAGCCTCTGCTGCCTCCCTGGGCCAGTGTGGCTCTGCTTGTTGACGTGCAGAGGGCGAGTGGACACCGTGCTGGCCCCAAAGCAGGGACAGAGGCCGGCCTTGTTGATCAGGTCTTGGCACAGCCGAGCCAGCAGTCTGCAGGGCGCTGGCCTGCCCCGCCTCTGGCCACCTGAGCACGGAGGGTGGGCAGAAGGAGCGCTTTGCCCTGGAGAGTCCCATGGTTGATGTCCAGCCCACACTCCTGCGTTGGAACCCAGGACGGGACACGACCTGACTGTGCGTCGTAGGGGAGCCCCGTTCACGGAGCCTCTTCGCAGAGAGGCCTGTCCCCCACCTGGGATGCCAAGCAGACTGGCTCTGGAGCCAGACCAGCCTTGGAGCTAAATGTGCAGTTGTCCGTTTCAAATAGTAGTGTTTACGAGAAGAAAGTAATGAACACCGAGGCCTGGTGTGTGCTGTGGACTGCTCTGTCCAGGCCATGAGGCACCACCCTGGCAGCCGGGACATCTCCATCCGGGTCCCAGAATCCCTTGACTGCCCTGTGATGGCCCAGGACAGGAACGGCCAGGAGCCCAGCTGGCTGTTCCCCACCCTGAGGAACCAGCCGGGCAACGCTCACCCCACGGGGTCACCAGCCCTGCCACCAGCTGTGCCCCGGGGCCGTGCTGGTCTCTGCCGCAGGAGGTGAGGCGTAGCTTCGTGGCTCCACCCAGACGCAGTCAGAAATGCAGGGCCGGGAGCAGCTGCTCGGGTCTGGGGCCAGCGTGGGAGGAAGGGCACTGACACCCCCACCTCGGGCAGAGCCCCTCCCTACAGAAGGCTGCCCAGCTGTTCTCTTTTATTTTTGAATCTTGCCGTTTTTGACAGCTTGGGGAGTGAACTAGAAGATCATGCTCAGAATTTTTTTTTTTTTTTGAGAGAGAAAGGTATTGCTATATAATTCACGTGTGCTCACCGGAGAGACAGAAAGTGAGAAACCACCGCCCGGGGGGCGGGGGGGCATGGTCACACCGCAGACCCTCTCGTCTGTTTTCCTACTGGAATCTTGGGCACGCACTTACATGCCCAACCTGAGTTTGAAGCCACCGGGTCCAGGCTCGAGCCACAGTCATCCACCTGGGAGTCTGGCGACGCAGCCGCCATGCCATCCGCTAGCCCCTGTTCTAGCTGTTTTCACGAGAGCCAGACGGGCATGCACCTCACCAGGCTCCTTCATGCTGTGGTCAGTGCATTCCAGCCAGCCCTGGGCCCCTGCGCACACACGTCTGTGCCCTCGGGGAAGTCTGGGGCAGGTACCTGGAGCCACCCTGGGGTCAGCCTGCTCGGTGCTGCTTCTCTGAGCCACCACCCAGCCTCGGCCCTTCAGGAAGTGGCCGGTGACACTCCCCAGGGTACTCGGGGTGGACACAGCCACCTGCACATGGGGAGGGCTCTGAAGTGGGCACGGGAGGCCGCTCTGAGGACCTCCTAGCACCCTCACTCCCTGGGCCCCTGTCTGGCAGGTGAGGCGAAGGGGAGCTGACCTCACTTACTTTCAGAAGGGTTTGGCTGGCCTGCTTTGGTTAGGGTGGTTTATTTCCTGAGAGACAAGCACCATCAACGGCAGCTCGTGCCAGTTGGCATCTCCCCTCGGGATCCCCAGCCACTCCCCTCCACCCAGCCTGGGTCGTGGGACCCAAGTGCGGGCGGCTTTGGGGACCGAGCCCCAGCCTCCTTCCCCGGGCTCTCAGCGTCCCAAAGCCTGTGCACCGTGGCTGGGCCAGACTCCCCTGTGCTGGGCCCTTGTGGCCCTCGTGGCAGAGCAGCCGTCCTCTCTGTGCAGGTGGCCGCACCCACTGAGCGCCTGAGCGTCCCACGGGTGCGGGGAAGGTGTCGCGGAGGCCCACCGTTCAGGGCGTCTCCCGCGTCCCCGGCTCCAGGCCTCGGCACGTTCTCTGCAGGCTTTTCTCCCAGCGTGCAGCCCCGCGCTCATCCTCGAGGAGGTCATCAACCGACCTTGCATTTAGAGAGCTCGCGATTGGTGTGAAGTTGGAAACCTCTTTGCCTGTCCCATCTCACAGGACGCAGCTGGCCGGCACATGGTGTGAGATGGGCCGTCCTTGGCCTTGACACCTGCCCGCTTCTCCTCGCTGGCCGCCGGGTTGTTTCAGAGCAGACCCGGAGCTCAGCCCTGGGTGCCCCGACCTGGCCAGACTCCGCTCTCCTGTGTCGCCTCATCGACACCTTTATGGCCATTGGTTCTGGTTAGGGGGCCGCTCAGGGCTCACACACCTTGGGCCGGTGCTGGTTCTGAACCTTGCCTCCTTGGGGGACAGATCCCAGGCCTAAAGCCCAGAGCCTGAAACAAGGTGTCAGGTGACTCTGCAGCGGGTCACAGTGAGGTGACTGCGGGGGGGAGCGGTGCAGGCTGAGGCCGGCTCCTGGCGCCTGCAGTGGCGCAGCAGACAGGGCCTTCCACGGGCGGTGCCCAGGGCGCTGGGATGGCCTTGTCCGCCCACCCCGCAGGAGCCCGGGGGCCCGTCGCCACAGGAAGGACGACCGTCAGGAAGTCTGGGTGTCGCCCTCACCCCCGGGGGCCCTCTCCCCTCCTGTGTTCTCGGGTGGGAATCCGTGGGGAGCAGCGATGCTGGCCCAGCGCGAAGGCCAATGCCCCCTCTGTCCCTCAGGAATGGGCACCACAGACCACGTCATTGTCCTGGCGGCCACGAACCGAGCCGACATCCTGGACAGCGCTCTGACAAGGCCCGGCCGGCTCGACCGGCACGTCTTCATCGACCTCCCCACGCTGCAGGTCAGGCCCGGGCGGGCGGGGCTGGGGGCCCCTAGTCCTCAGGTGGGGGGACCTGCCACAGCCTTGGGCCAGTGCTGACTCCTGGCCCAGTGGCCACTGCCGCCTCCTCTGCCGCTCCTGTCTCTAAGGCCAGGGCAGTGCGTGCACTCAGGCGAGGGAGAAAGCCCGTGGACATGGCCGTGCCTGCACGCCTCCTCCACGTCCACCCTGCCGCATCTGGGCATACGTGTGCCCCAGCATTTTTTATTGCTTTTTAAATTTTTATTTAATTCTTTTTAGAAATTTTTTTTTCTTGCTATAGGACGAATGCACTCGCTGGAGAGATAGAGAGAGATGGAGAGATAGAGAGCCAGAAAGTGAGAAATCATCCCCTGAGGGATGGCCATGCTGCACCTCCTTCTCCGTTCTCCACTCAGGATTTTGGGCATGCATGCACATTCGCCCAGCATGAGGCTTTCTTTTTTAAAATTTTATTTGTTGTTGTTATTCAATTTGATGAGAGAAGGAGAGAGATAAGAGAGCAAGCTGCCAGGTCCGAGACTTGAACTGTGGTCGGTCATGTGGGAGTCCAGCACCCCTACCCACAATACCTCACGCCTGCTGACCCCACCCAGCACGTTTTCAGGCTGCGGGGCCAGCCCTGTGGGGCCCGGCTTCCTGACACAGGCCCACGCTCCATCTGCTCTGCTGCTTGATCTTGTCCACCCCTGCGGTGTCTCCATCCTGCGTGTGGTGGGTGCAGAGTACTGGCCAGAGCTGGGCTTCACAGCGTGTCCTCTGACCCAAGTCCAGCGAAGGAAAGGAGGACTCCCATTTCTCTGGGCACCTTCCTCCATGGAACACCTCAGGCTCTTCATCCCAGCTCTTAAGCAGCCAGCTTTGGCCACGTGCTGGCACAGCTGCTCCAACGTGGCGGGTGGAAGTCCTAGTGTCTCTGGGCCTCTTGCCTGATCGCGTCAGCCAGCTCAGGCCTCTGGTCAAGGCCTGCGCTGCAGCCTGGGACCAGGTGCCGCTGTGTGCTGGGTGCTTGCAGAGCCAGCCTGGCAGGGCGGCAGGTCGGGCCCAGCCCACATCGGGGTTTTCTCCCCCACCCAGCCCCCCGACAGCGTTGCTGGGGAGAGGCCGCCCAGTGACGGCGCAGGGTCTGGAGGTGCCGTGTGTGGAGTCAGGCTTTGCAAGCAGCCCTGGCTGTGGTGTCTTCACTCTCTTCTGCTCCCATTGCTTCCTTCCCTTTCCCTCCCCTTGTTCCTCATGGGAGGGGAGAAAGCCGCCATGGGGGCCGGCCGTGCCGCCGGC